TCGTATATTACACATAGAAAAACAAATTTGCTCGAAATTCATACAAAAACATTCATACACCTTCACACTCATTTACAAATATTTTACAAGTATTAGGGCTCTTTTCTACTACCAAGATGCGTGATTATTCAAGGGAACCTCACAAATGGAGAAGAGATCATTTGTTGTGACACATTGGCATTGACGGACTGCAAAACATTTCTCCTTATTAAATATGAACTATTCAAAAGTCAAGACATTTCATTTTGTCAGAATGCTTAAGTAAGAATACATCTTGAAGGTTGGCAAAAAAGATACTTGGGAGGCTAGGAGTATGTGTGGAATTGCATCATTAGTGAGTACATCTTACTAGATTCTGTACCCGCGATTTACTTTATTGCTTCATTTATAGGGCTTACTGCGAAGCAAATGGATGAGGTATACCAAACAAAAAGTTTGTTCAGTTACATACTTTATCACGTTTCATCACATTTTAGGACTTTATTTTTTAAAGCAATCTACATCATGCTCAAGGATCATAAAAAAATATTCCAAATGTGTAAGTGACAAGTGAAAAAAAAAAAATTGGGGAGCGAGAAAATGAAAAAAATTGTGGCAGATCCGACCAGATTACATTTAGCTATTCAGACCTATCTCCACTTAAGGTTCTATGATAATAGTCTGTGTGCTGTTTTCGTGTTCTGTTATGCTCAAAAGAACTGATGGCTTTACTTCAAATTATTTTCAATTAGTGAAAAAGTAGATAGGAGAAAATTTGAAAGATTATTATACAGCCTACTGTTTATATAAGGAGGCGTAAAAACCCTTTTGAAACCAAAAGATGGATAGGTCGGTTTGACTAGAAGTCATCCAGTTGTACAAATAGAATGTTTACACATCAGCCTTCAGACATAATCGATTCAAACTCATGGGATGAAATTCACTGGCGGATCTCACAAATGGACAACACTAGATTTTTCCCGTTAGATGTATTTGAAGTAATAAATATTCATGGCAGCAGACTACCTCTCTTGGAATCAATCTAATTTAAATATACTTTCGGGGAAAAGATGGTAGTATCAGCTTGAGAGAATTGCCCCTGATCAGACTGGACAGCTGAATTTGAGGCCTTCAGTTATGCACAAATGTAACCAATCTCAGACCAGCAACCCATCTATCTTATAGCTGAAGGATTGGTGTGTTGGTAAGATATAAGGTTAGGCAGGTTTGGACCAATACTAAAGAGAGAATATAGCAGAATCACGAGTTGGAAATGTCAACGCAGGGGAGTCTGTTTACATAGGATTTCCATCCTACCTTCCTAGGTAAAAGCGTCACTCCTCCATTCTATTCTTGTTTGGCCATTTCCTGACAAAATGCTACATTACAAAGGAAACAACTGATACTCATTCTTTAGTTTTTCAAAATGACTGACAGGGGGGACTCGAAATAAAAACCTTGAGCACAGTGGCAATCAGATTTTTTTATGATTGATCATTATGAGTCAAGGAGAAATGCAAAATTTGGAAATGGTATTGTGGTATTTGTGCTTTGGACGGCAGTATTGCAGATTAACTCCTTCCACATAAATGCATCCAATTCAATAGCAATTAAGGGTATGACTATGGAAGATTCATGTGCTCAAACTTTCCAGGGCTACACAGTGCACTTACGACGCAAAAACTAAAAAATAGAGAGAGGAAAGAGAGAACTTTTATCAATGAGCGTATGGTAAGTAATTACCTCGTACTTCAAATTTAAAGACTAGTTTGCAGTGAGGGACATGTAAGGGTTCTTAATGGTGCAATCAAGAATGATAATGACTGGACTACAGGAAAATAGATGGCCTTTTGTGACTTTACTCAAGTTCAAAAAAGCCGTGAGAGTGACTTCCAAGCATGATTGGGGAGGTGATGAGGCATTAGAGGGGAATACTTTAGTTAAAATGATTGCACTACACTTTTAGTGGTATAAAGTAGGTTTGATGCGTGAGGTCAGTTGCACCTATACAAATTTGCATTCTGATGATTGCATTTTAGACTATTGAATAGACTATGGATGATTGAATTTCTGATTTAGACTAGCAAATTTAGACTTAAAAAAACGATGACAGAGGACTAAATGTAAGTCTAGACTTCGGAAATATTGTCCCTAAAATAGCTAGAGGACAACCTCTGCGTTTATAAAAGAGCAATACTTCTATTAAACTAGGATGCAGACACTTGGCATAGTGACAAGTTGTTGAAACAAGATTCTGTGATTAACGCAATTGCCCTATTTGGCATGATTTTGACAATCGATAAAATCCCAATTATCATATAATAATTGTGTGGATTTGACTTTTAAGGCCAAGTTAGGAACCTGAATGTCAGGTCCCTTGAAAATTTTAACATTTTTTAAAAAATAAATTATCTCACATTCACAGCTCAGAATAACTCCTAGAAGCTGCAGAATAACCTCCTGCAAAAACGAAGAGTGGAGGTAAATTGGATGACCTGACGTTCTCTACTTGGCAGCCATAAGTAATGCGACGCTTGAGAGGAGAAAGTTCGGACAGAAGAGAAAAATTTTGGCTGAATTTGAATGCTGTGTGTGGTGAATTAGTCTACAATTCTTCTTTGAGATCATCAGAGTCACCACCAGCTGGTGGCGGTGGTCCTTGGCCGGCGTACAATTTGGCAATGATAGGCTGAACAATTTGCTCCAGGTCCTTTTTCTGTTTCTGGTATTCTGCTCCATCTGTATCTTGGTTTTCCTCCAACCATTTGATCTTCTCGTCGATTGCTTCTTCCATTTTTGTTTTTTCTTCATCGCTCAACTGAAACAAAATCATTCCATCAACCTGTGAGAAAACAATGCACGTTCAAAGTGATGAAAAACATTAGCCCTCTAACAAACCTAAAAGAAAAATATGATAAAGAAAGATAGCTTCATCCGTACTTTATTGGATAAAAAAGATGAATAAAGGAGCTCTTCACGAAGCAGAGTCTAAATAATTTTTTCTTGGGAATTGATCATTTTCAAACTGTAGTTACTTATTGCAATTTTTTGGCCAAAGGCGAAATTTGGTGATTTGCTCTCAAAACGTATGAGGATAAGATCAACTAAAAACAAAGATACAATAGCTTTATCTTTTCTAGATGCATTTGGTTTTGGGCATGGAAACAAAGAGGACCGGTTATAAAAACGAACTGTAAGTTACAACTTCTTAGGACGTTGAAAATGAAATAAACAAAGGTCTTCTAATAACTCACTTCATCTTCACTCTTTCTCATACAGGGTGTCCGAATAGTCCCTTCCCCCCATCTAACTTTTGACCTAATTAAGGTAGATTTGAAACTTGTAGGATGTTCCTTGATTTAAGGGAGCTGCTTTTTGACCCCTCTATTTTTTTGGTGGCCCCCTTAGGGGGGAGGGGGTAACGTACCCCAACTTTTTTTCAAATGCGAAGACTCCCTTTGTGGTATCTCGTTTGAAAGAACATTTAAAAAAAAGCAAAATTTTCGCGCAAACTTGAAGTCAATATCTCAAACCACTTCAAAATGGCGGCCAGTTAAAGTTGGCTGTATTACACACCATCTGCTCTGACAGATTCGCCAGTGCAATCAATTAAATTGAATTATTCCCTTTGCCTAGATTTGGGTACCACGACGAGATTTCTAGGGGTCCACTTAGAACAGCATCTCAATTGGAAAACCCACATTGATCATGCGATCAGTAAAATACAAAGTCATAAATGGGCCTTAAGGAATCTTGTCAAGATAACATCAAGAGAGGTGGCACTACTGCTTTATCATGGGCGTATCGTATCTCATCTGAGATATGGGATCATTCTCTGGAGCAGAAGCTCTCACTCAGAGAGTTTGTTTATCGAGCAAAAGAAAATACTCAGAATCTCGTTTAATGTCCCCTCCAACTACCCCTGTAAAGAAGTCTTCAAACAAAATAAACTATTTACATGAAACTTTAAAGTGAATCAGTAAATATGAAAAGGGCACATGTCCAGAAAACCAAATTGTTCAGGCCACACAAAAAACTGTTTATTTTGTGGTAGATATTTTTTGGAAAGTCGTTATGTTTAAAAAAACCGGCGCTTCGCTTCGCCCCGCGCCGGTATTTTTAAACACAACGACTTTCCAAAAAATATCTACCACAAAATAAACAGTTTTTTGTGTCTCCTGAACAATTTGGTTTTCTGGACATGTGCCCTTTTTGTATTTAGAGATTCAAGTATGCTATATTCAACAAAATAATTGATCTTAATGAGTTGTTCCCCTCACATAGCCACGACACCGGGCATAATTTCATAACTCCAGAAAAGTTCACCTACTCTATTTCAAAAACAAATATGAGACCAGCATCAATTCAAATACTTAATGCCCTTCCCTCTGAGATGAGAAAAACACTTAAGAGGGGTGAAATAAACGTCTTCTTTCTCAAACTTAGGGCTTTTGTCTTGGAGAATGCACTCTACTTTGTTGAAGACCTCTCAAATCTTTAGCCTTCATCCATCCCTTCTTAGTCATTTTCTTATTTTGCTCTTAGTCATTTTCTTATTTTGCTCTTAGTCATTTTCTTATTTTGCTCTTAGTCATTTTCTTATTTTGTTCTTACATTGCATAATTTGAATCATTTATACGATCTGTATCTGATTCATTTGTACGACTTTTACGATCCCTTAAAGGGAGTTTATGTACCAACTTTAAAATAAATAAATAAATAAAAATGGCCAAAAATTGGCATCTCGGTTATTCGCCTTTGGATTTGCCTGCAACTTGAAACCTACGGGTATTTTGGCATGAAATTAACAAATGTGAAATTAGATTTCTAAAAAAAAAAAAAATGATTCGACCATTTTGATCTTCAATTGGCCGCCATTTTGACAATTTTAGTGTCTTTGAAAATCCAACTCCAAATTCGTTTTTCTTGTGTTGAATTATGTACCCCCACTTATCGAATTTCAGGCAAATCCACCGACAAAAAACCTAGGTGTCCATTTTCGGCCATCTCAAACCTTAACCGGTCGCCATATTGAAACAGTTTGAGATAATGACTTCAGGTTTACGCGAAAATTTTTCTTTTTTTATGCTCTTTTGAACGAGGTATCACAAAGGGGGTCTTCCCATTTGAAAAAAAAAGTGGGGTCCATTACCCACCCACCTCCAAGGAGGGCCCCCGAAAATTTTAGGGGGGTCAAAAAGCAGCTCCCTTCAACCTAGGAACATCCTCCAAGTTTCAAATCTCTACCTCAATTAGGTCAAAAGTTAGAGGGGGGGAGGGGACTTTTCGGACACCCTGAGGAAACCCTCTGACAAAAACGCTTGTAATGTTTTAAGAGGGTCCATTGCGCAGGTCACAGAATCGTGCTTTGATGCTTGATTCAGGTAGATTAGCTAAAAATAATATGATCTGTCCAAATAGCAACTTCCTACGTTTAATATTAACGGAGATATCGCGCTTAGAAAAGTTGGGTTCTTGACGTCATCCATCACTGTGGTGACACCCTTGGTTTCTTCCTTGTGTGTTCCATAAGTTATGCAGAGGGCGCGATGCAAAACTTCAACAGCATTAAACATACACAAACTGTGGCGAACTGACTAACAGCCTGACCCTTTGCATTGAGTGCGTTATCTCCTCATACAAAGGTACTTAAAAAGCGAATTCTTCTGTTTCTTGAGATTGTTTATGTTTATTATTGTTGAAGTTTTGCGAAGTTGCTGTTTGGATGGATCTTATTATTTTTACTTAATCTACAAGAATCAAGCGCACAATTCTGTGACCAGCGCAACTGACCCGATATTTAAGTTCCAGTGAAACTTCTAAAAATGGAATATTTTCATTATAAGGATACAGCTTTGATAGCAAATAAAATCTTACGTGAACAAACAATATCCTCCATTTAATTTTAAGGGCACAACTGTTACACTTACTGATCAGGCTTCAAAAGTCCAAGGATAAGGACAAGAGCATTTCAACATGAGCATAAAAGGCGAATAAGTGGCACATCTCATTCCTTAGTTAAGCGGAATAATCTCTCTACTTGCATGTTGCCCTACCCTATAGGTTTAAGGCACAAATTCTTTTAACTGCATACAGTAGACACCACTTATAATTGAACGCATTGGGATCGATCGAATGTTACATTATTAGCGGGTTCCTGGTTCAAGCTTTTTCCGCATAAAGATTGAAATCTAGGCAGCAACCGCACGGCTCACGCCTCTCCGTGATAATTGGGTCTGTTAGATGCTGCCTGATGCCACATGGTGACAACTAATACCTGATTTCTTGGGATTGGGAGCAGGAGAAATGAATACATTCTTACCGAATGCAAAACAGTAAAACTTATCCATGCAACAAGCTGTCATTTCTTAAAACTGACGTGAAATAATGTTTATCAATTTTGGGTGAAGCATGAATGATCAATTATCAATATTTCCCTATTTGAAGCTATAGTAAGAGATTGATTATTAAGGTGTTCGTAGTGAACACCCTATTTATCGATCCTTTCCCATAGGTTTAAGTGGCATATCGATCGATTTGTCGCAGAGCACGCCACACCACTACCAATAACTGGATAATGATTCCAATATATCGAGTTTTTAGAATAACCATTTGACAATAGATTGCGTTGTTCCAAAACTCAGCACAGAAATTTTTGGGGACAACCTAGTTCATTTTGGATATTTTTCTATTGGGGAAGAAAAATTTTGGCTGTTGTAAGCGGCTATTAGCAGGAACTCTTTACATTGTTCTAATGGGCGAAACAACGAGGCCGCACGAAAATAACGATATAAGCGGTTTTCTGTCACAAACGTGTGTCGTTTTATCAAGCTTCTACTGTAAACGCTTTGAAGGATAGATAGAAAGTTATAAAAACTTGAAAAGAGAACAATTGACTTACTTTTGAGCCAAGTTTTTCTTTGTCTGCTAGTTGGTTCTTCAATGAGTAGGCGTACGATTCCAATTCATTCCGAGCTTCAACTCTTTCCTTCAGCTTCTTGTCATCATCAGCAAACTTCTCTGCCTCCTTGATCATTCGCTCAATATCATCAGGAGTAAGCCTATTTTGATCGTTGGTAATGACAATCTTCTCCCTGTTACCAGTTCCTTTGTCTTCAGCTGATACCTAAAAATAATGATAAGAGGTCATTATAGACAGGGAACTCATTAAATAAACTTGGGAATGATTTTGATTTGATTTTCCACGCCTGCAATACCAAAACCCTTCATGAAGCGGCAGGGTTTTTTTGTAAGGTTGCCGGCAAGTAGGGGACAGTTCTTTTCGTAGTCCGCGCATTTACCGTGGCATGAGTGTATTTTCCGAAGGGTAGCGTCACATTGGGGAATGAAATCTTTTACCCTTCCCCTCTTGCCACAGAACAGAACAGAAAGAAACAGTGCCACAAGAAACAGTTACCCTTGGCAAACTTAACCCTGGATTCCAGTTATGATTTACAATAAATTCAGACCTATCCATTCCCTCATGTTTTTTATATTCTCACCTGAGCGTATTTGATATTAGGGAAAAATTAATTGGGCGTTGAGAAATGTTTTCACGCAAACCCACCCCCCCCTCCCGCCTGTAAAACATATGAATGATCGCTAATACAAAACGCAGGAGCCGATTTTCCTGAAATTCTATAGGAAACCAGACTAAGTAGGCCCCTAACTGCCATTTAAATTTTAGCTCAAAATATAATTTTCACTCGAGATTAAGCGCAACTCCTCCCCCCCCCCCNNCCCCCCCCCCCCCCACCTGTAAAAACGGTAAATAGCCACTATTATGGAACGCGTGGGCCGATTTCCCTGAAATTCAATAGAAAACCAGTTTTAGTAGATCTCTAACTACCATCAAAATTTCAGTATGCATTACATACTTACGTACGTACATACATACATACATACATACATACATACATACATACATACATACATACATACATACATACAAACATACAGTTAGTTAGTTATTATAATTTTAAGACATTCAGCGACTCAGGCTATTAACGTCTTTACAGATAATTTTGAAAATAGGAGTATAAAGGAAAATTTAGATTTTTAAATTAAGTGCATACATACATACATACATACATACACATACATACATATATATGTATATATATATACAGGGTGATCCAAAAGTCCCTTCCACCCCCTCTAACTTTTTACCTAATTGGGATAAAGATTTGAAACTTGGAGGATATTCCTAGGTCAAAGGGAGCTACTTTTTGGCCGCCCTAAAATTATCAGGGGGGCCCCCCTTGGGGGGGGGGGCACCGGCCCCTAACTTTTAATTTTCAAATGGGAAGACCCCCTTTGAGATACCTCGTTCGAAAGAGCATAAAAAAAGAAAACTTTTCGCGCAAACCCGAAGTTAATACCTCAAACCGTTTCAAAATGGCGGCCGGTTAAAGTTCAAAATGGCCGAAAATTCACATCGGTTATTTGTCGATGGATTTGCGCGAAAATCGGTATATGACGGTATTTTGACACGAGAAAAACGAATTTGACGTTAGATTTTCAAAAAAACCAAAATTTCCAAAATGGCCGCCGGTTAAAGTTTAAAATGGCCGAAAATTTTCACCTCGGTTTTTTCCTGATGGATTTGCCTAAAACTTGGAATTTGAGAATATTTTGGCATAAGATAAACAAATTTGAACTTAGATTTAGAAAAAAATCAATTTTTGGTCATTTTGAACTTGATCCGGCGGCCATTTTGGAAATTTTGGTGTTTTTGAAAATCTAACGTCAAATTCGTTTTTCTCGTGTCAAAATACCCCTACATACCGATTTTTGCGCAATCCATCGACAAATAACCGATGTGAATTTTCGGCCATTTTGAACTTTAACCGGCCGCCATTTTGAAACGGTTTGAGATATTGACTTCGGGTTTGCGCGAAAAGTTTGCTTTTTTTATGCTCTTTCGAACGAGCTATCACAAAGGGGGTCTTCCCATTTGAAAATTAAAAGTTGGAGGCCGTTTCCCCCCCCCCCCAAGGGGGGCCCCCCCTGAAAATTTTAGGGGGGCCAAAAAGTAGCTCCCTTTGATCTCGGAATATCCTCCAAGTTTCAAATCTTTATCTCAATTAGGTAAAAAGTTAGAGGGGGTGGAAGGGACTTTTGGATCACCCTGTATGACAGAAAATAAATGACATATATGAGGACATAAATGTAACAATAGTGGTTGCTGACATCCGCCATTTATAGGGCAAAGGTTTTTTTTTAATTCTGGATAACCTCAAACCGTTTCAAAATGGCGGCCGGTTAAAGTTCAAAATGGCCGAAAATTCACATCGGTTATTTGTCGATGGATTTGCGCGAAAATCAAGAGTGGCGGTAGCCACCCCCGGTCGAGGAAAATGACGTCCTACTAAAGTCCCGATAACAAACGGGTGGCCGACACTCTTAGTCACAGGCAACTCCCTTAATCTGAAAATTGATTCGGTTGGAACTCGACTGCAGCCCAAACGACGGCACGGATTCCTATGATCTTGGTGTCTACGGATGCATCTCAATTAGGACTACAAAGTGGAAGAGTTTCATTAAGATCCATTGAGTTTTCAAAAAGTTATAAGCACTTGATGACCCAAAACAAGGAAAATTTTACTTTTTACTTTGCCGGGATTTGAATTTCAAGAATCCAGGGTCCTGAGAAAGTCACTCAAACTCCGCGATAACGGTACACCTTAGACCCATAAAAGTGGGTACCTAAAGAATCGTCATGTTACTGTGTCCATGGGTTTTTACAGTTTTGTAACATTCCTAGTGATCTTAAAGAGAAATTACGGAAAATACGACTAAACTGCCCGTCATGACCATCTTTAACAACAGATTTCTCGCTTACCCGGCCGCAGATTGAAATGGAGCCTATATAAAGGGCACTCCGTGAAGATGTGAGGATTTCATTTTGCCACATAAAAAAGCGCTTTATCTCACGGATAATCCAGCATCCGCTTACATCCTTCAAAATTTTAGCTATAATTTTTGAATTTAGAAAAAAACCAGTAATATAATGGTTCAACGCCATTGGTTCATTCTGTTCAGGTTCGTCCGAGTTTCGGGAACGAAATTCCTGTCGTCGTTATCAACCTCCATCTACTGTATTTATTTGTGAAAAATGAACAGATTTAATTTAAAAGTTCAATTCATTTTAGATCCTAACTAGTATTACACACTTATATTATTACGCCCACTTTTATCCCGATACACTACTTCATTGGTTTCTTAAAAATCTCAAGTGATTTCTGGTCGGTCGTTACCAACCTCTTTAACTAGTTGTGAATAGATTTACCTAATTTGGATAAGAGTTTAATTCTTTGTAGATGCTAACTACTATATGTACATACTCTTATTATTACGTCTCACGTGTTCTACTGGAGCCCGATATACCTTAATTTCTCTTAAAATGTTCAAGTGATATCTTTATTTTATTGAAAGATATGTGACAAAATTTTAAGTGAGGTTATGTCGTCATGTTTATGTCAGTACCTGACCGAAGCGATAGACGTAATTCCGGTAAATTACGTCAAAGAAATTACACCGAAATTGTGCCAAACTCTCCAAAGGAAGCAGCATTTACATCACAGAATGTATTCTCACTACTAAAGTCTAAAAATTACTGGAATATGAGCCTCGGTCTTCACATGCGACTGTCACTGAACTTCGACCAAAATTTATTCGCTCTATATCTTGCCATCAACCTATGTGCTCTGGAGTGATTATGCTTCTCTGAAGTGTATGTTATTTACATTAAGAACATGTTTCCTTCATGATTTATCTTGGAATCCTCCTATCTCTTCTACCGTTCTTGTTACGCCCGGCTTGCGTACCTGAGTATGTGAGGCACAATTCCATCCCTTTTTGGAACAGTTCAATCATAGGTCAACTTAATGTCACATAATCAAAGGTCTTTGACTGTGAGCATTTGCTCAAATTGGTTTCTTTTGAGTCTCTTTGATTTTGCGTCAGGAGTTGTTAGAAACTTCATTTTGCCCAACAATGTATAACAAGGTCTTTAATGAAAGGTATGTACCCGTTTTATTCTCATAATTTCATAAGTTGATGATAAAAATACAATGAAGGCTTCATTTTCTTGCATAAATTGCTGTGTGAAATGGGTGCGTCCATTCCTCCTCTATTTAAAAGAGTAACAGAATGTATTGCTCATCTGTTTAGAGGACTTCAGTATTAAGATACGTAGGTACGTGTTCCTGCCTAGTTCCTTTGGAATAAGTGTGATCGTGTTAATCATGGCTAAATACAATTAGACCCCATGGTATCAATGTAATCATAAATGCCTCTCCACTCATACCAACTAGGTGCGGCATATCCTCCGATCAAGAGATGGAGATTGCCATCTCAGTAGGTACGAGGGTGAGCCTACGAACCCAGGTATGGTGACCGTAAGTACCGCTTTGGCCTCTCACATTCAGATGAGCCTTTTTCTCTAATGAACTCATGCCAATACTTAGATCTCCAGACTTATTTACTGCATTAAGAACACATAAGATAATAAATCAAATAGGTCAAGTCAGTTGTCAATCTTTATACCAAGTGCAGGTACCAACATAATTTTTTGTTATTGGGTGGACAAAAGACACTAGCTGCAACGCAGCGATTCATAGATTTAATTGTTCCCAACCGATCCGTGATTTGGCGTCAATCCTTTGGATGAAAAGATCACGATAGTTCCATTATTATTAATTAAAAACATCATTTAATTTGACAACAGTTCTGTGTGCGTTTCCCACTGTCTGAAGTTCAGTAAAAATAAGGACTCAATTTTGTGGTGGCCACATTCTCTATGATGCAGTTACTTCTCAACCAATGAACACCAGATTCGTTTCATACTTAGAGTTTCGCGTTGTAGGATCAATTTTTGATTGGCTCTTGCATTTCGGTTAAGGCGAAAGACTGAGTATGAACCATGGAACGAAAGGTACAACAAGAAACAAACGGAATGAGAGAGGGAATGTAAGAAGGAAATGGTAGGAAAGCAACAAGAGCAAAATAAACAAAACCTCGAAAATAAGAAGGCAAATTTTTATCCAGACGAATTTCTACTTCAATCTTAAAATACATTCTCCTCAAAACCCTTGTTCTTTTAGTGCATTTTCATGTTATTCTTAGTGTGCCATCCTATAAAGCCCTATCTGAAAGTAAATAAATTCGCGGGCAATTTTTAAACTTTAATTTGCTGCAATTGGTCCGAGTTCTCAGGATCTGAGAAGTTGCAAGAATCAGAATCAGCATTAGTGCGCTCTCTCGCGGCTAACGCCGAAACCCTAGTTTTCACTTTCACTTTTCTTCACCAGTAGCGCTCTACTTTCGTTCCGAATGCTTCGGTTTTGCTAGCTCTTCGTATAGCCAGACCTTTAGGTACTTATTCACCCAAAAACGATCTGATATAAACTACAAAAACCCTCAAAAACATTTTTCAGGCAAAAAATCCGGTCGAGGAAATTGACGTGTCACTTCCTTTTAATCAAGTACAAGATAGGCAAAAACCTTTGATGAATTCCCAAGGTCCACTAAGACTAATAATCATCAAAAAGTTCCAAAAACTTACTCGAAAGGAAAAAAATAAAATAAAAAATAAATCCCTTGCCAAAAATAAATAAAAAACCGATTTTGAGATAAATCCCTCGAATGAACTTGAAATCACAAAATCGGTCGAGGATGTCAACTGAAATTTTTCCCCCTTTAATTATGAGCTCCGCAACAAGCGTGACTCGCTTGTACCTTTTCATACACGAGCCGCACGAATTCATCTCTTCTTCTCTCCTCTCCTTCCATCCATGGACAGAGGTCCAAAATTTTTCGGATTTACTGACGCGACCGGCTGCGGCTCGGTGCGTAAACATGGGTGGATTACTAAGATTACACATTAGTCAGAGAGAAACACGTACAACCTGTCGACTTAAGTGGGGCTCATTCCATGAAGGGACTCAACTCCTCCACTATAACAATTCCACTAATAATTTTGCGATTCAGAAATCCCCTCACTTGTCCGGACCTAACGTGTCTGTTGAAATGTCGTCCAATGGTACAGATGTATTCTATACTTAACTGATAGAGTATAAGAACAATTATTACTTACAACCTACCTACCGTCCAAAGCAAATGGTAAGCTCCCTTAAAAAAAAATCCATGTTTCAGATGAATCATGTTTCGAAAAAGTCTAACATGTGGTTATGGAAAAATGGGTCGACTGGTGAAACTGCAACCAACTTGAAGCCGACATCAGGGATAATAAGAAGGCACCGATTCACTGAGAGCATCGAGCCGCAGCCGGTCGCGTCAGTAAATCCGAAAAATTTTGGACCTCTGTCCATGGATGGAAGGAGAGGAGAGAGGAAGAGATGAATTCGTGCGGCTCGTGTATGAAAAGGTACAAGCGAGTCACGCTTGTTGCGAAGCTCATGGTTAAAGGGAGGAAAGTTTCAATTGACATCCTCGACCGATTTTGTGATTTCAAGTTCATTCGAGGGATTTATCTCAAAATCGGTTTTTTATTTATTTTTGGCAAGGGATTTATTTTTCATTTTATTTTTTTCCTTTCAAGTAAGTTTTTGGAACTTTTTGATGATTATTAGTCTTAGTGGACCTTGGGAATTCATCAAAGGTTTTTGCCTATCTTATACTTGATTAAAAGGAAGTGACACGTCAATTTCCTCGACCGGATTTTTTGCCCGAAAAATGTATTTGAGGGTTTTTGTAGTTTTTGGTATATACGGGTATTTTGACACGAGAAAAACGAATTTGACGTTAGATTTTCAAAAAAACCAAAATTTCCAAAATGGCCGCCGGTTAAAGTTTAAAATGGCCGAAAATTTTCACCTCGGTTTTTTCCTGATGGATTTGCCTAAAACTTGGAATTTGAGAGTATTTTGGCATAAGATAAACAAATTTGAACTTAGATTTAGAAAAAAATCAATTTTTGGTCATTTTGAACTTGATCCGGCGGCCATTTTGGAAATTTTGGTGTTTTTGAAAATCTAACGTCAAATTCGTTTTTCTCGTGTCAAAATACCCCTACATACCGATTTTTGCGCAATCCATCGACAAATAACCGATGTGAATTTTCGGCCATTTTGAACTTTAACCGGCCGCCATTTTGAAACGGTTTGAGATATTGACTTCGGGTTTGCGCGAAAAGTTTTCTTTTTTTATGCTCTTTCGAACGAGCTATCACAAAGGGGGTCTTCCCATTTGAAAATTAAAAGTTGGAGGCCGTTTCCCCCCCCCCAAGGGGGGCCCCCCCTGAAAATTTTAGGGGGGCCAAAAAGTAGCTCCCTTTGATCTCGGAATATCCTCCAAGTTTCAAATCTTTATCTCAATTAGGTAAAAAGTTAGAGGGGGTGGAAGGGACTTTTGGATCACCCTGTATGACATAAATTAATGACATATATGAGGACATAAATGTAACAATAGTGGTTGCTGACATCCGCCATTTATAGGGCAAACGTTCTTTTTTAATTCTGGATAAAAAAGTGTTTTTAGTAAAAATAGCGGATGTCACAGTTTTTTCAAATCGCTGTTATTCCTTCAATTTTTCACTTACATAGATCGTAAAATGTGTGTTTTTTACAGGAAGAGTTGTTCTTCATGAAAAGCTTTATGAGAATCTTCTCCTTTCTACGGGCGGTAAAGAGCAAAGCTTCGAAAACTTCAAACGCGATTTCCTCACAATAAGAAAACTCGACATCCCCTATTATTACATATAAGTCCTCATATATTTGTGATCTATGACTCGAGATCGGTGCTCTTCACACAGTCCCAGGTCTAGGTCATACCACGAGTGAGAACGCAAGTGTCGGAAACTACACTAAAAGTTAGCTAAAATTGTTGCGATGATTTATTTGGAATTTTACAGGCTATTCACTGTTGTAGGCATGACTAATAACACAAGTGATAGTAAGTGTATCCAATTAGATCATGAAAATAGATTAGTTCATTAGAATTAATAAATAAAGGGCCAATTAAAAATTTTATCCTTCATAAGTATGCTTGTTTCAATGGAATTAAAATTGCTGGGCATGTTTTTCTTCAAAGGACCGGTAGTTCACTTTTTACATCTTTTTTCAGATGAATCCATGAGAAGAATATTCATCTTATTAAAAAGACTAACATTTAATGATGAACAACCTAAGTTTAAGTGAAACTTCAAAATTATGTCTTGATCTTAATTTCTGACGTTCTACTTTTTTCTGCTGCTCATCACACCAGGATTATGACTGTCAAAGGATAGAATTGGGAGGAGGGATTACTTAGAAGATTCAGATGAAAAAAGTAATGAAAGCTTACCTGTAGGATACCATTAGCATCGATTTCAAAAGTAACTTCAATGTGAGGAACTCCTCGCGGTGCAGGCGGTACACCGGTGAGATCGAATTTGCCTAGCAGGTGGTTGTCCTTGGTCATTGGACGCTCACCTTCATAAACCTGGAGTACACAAGATGAAGTCTGTGTTAAGAAAATTGCCGCATTTTCATATAAAAGATCATGGTACAGTTTTTCAAGTTGTTCTGGATCAGTGGCAAAAACCCATCACAGGGTGTGAAAAAGTTCTTGGACTATCCTAGGTTCTCGGACAAAATGATCGAAATTAACTGAATTTTTACATAGATAATTTGCACAGTTGGAACATAAATTCACTGCAAATGACAAAAATATGAGGACCTTTTTTTTATATTTTAGATAGAAATTATTAAATGCACTAAACTGACACTCGCCATTGAAAGTCATTCCTCTGTTCACTGTTCAGAGTGTAACTTAGGGCATCGAGTTTCGAAATTGACTGAGGCTCAGTTTGATTGTACAAACATAGCAGACTCTTTTTCAGTCAAATTAAAGGATTCTTCAACTTTACCATCTTTATTATAGAATTTCCTGACTTTTAAGTGTATTTTCCGAAGGAAATACACTAGTGCGTTTTTTAGATTTCCCTTAACAAGTGAAATTCTCTGACAATTCCTGGTTTTCCTGATCTGTGGACAGACACTGCAACAAAATTGGCAAAAATACAGTGCATTGAACTGCATAAAACTTGCACTTGTACAAACCCAGAAAATACCGATTTTTCATTAAAGTTTCCTATCATAGGAGTGTCTACAAACGATATACACATTTTTCGACTTTCAAAGATTTAATTTGATTAAGATAACAGGAACTTCTAAATTATTCAATCATTTATCTTCTGAAAAGTATTAAAAAGAGAGAAATTTCGACTGATGCTTTCAAGAATAACTGCTATGCATGCATACAGATTCAAGCATTAGGGTTAAGTTAGTCTGAACTTTTTCATCAACATTAAAATATGAAAATTTGAAAAAAAAGAGAGAAAAATTGAGATTTACTATTCTGTAAGAATCCATGCGCATTTTCCTACTTCCTGTCTTGACAAAAAGGCTCTTTCCTAAAAAATTACCTGAATTGTTACTGTGTGCTGGTTGTCAGAGGCGGTTGAGAAGATCTGAGATTTCTTGGTTGGAATTACGGTGTTTCGGGGAATTAGTTTCGTCATGACACCACCAACAGTTTCGATTCCAAGTGTGAGAGGGTTAACATCCAAAAGAACAATGGCATCTGTGTCTTGTTCACCAGACAGTACGCCAGCTTGAACTGCAGCTCCGTAGGCAACAGCTTCATCGGGGTTAATGCCCCTGCTTGGTTCCTTGAAGTTGAAATATTCTTTGACTAACTGCTGGACTTTTGGGATACGTGTACTTCCACCAACAAGAACTATCTCATCGACATCTTTTTTGTTCATATCTGCATCTTCCAAGACTTTCTGTACTGGTTTCAGCGTTGACTGAAATAAGTCCTACAAAAGAAAAACCAAGATACCTATATGAAAGCCTTATATGTGCTAACAGCGGATGTTGCTTTACTAAATATTGAGAAAATAGCAATCAAAGATTTTAAAGCTGTGCGTTTTAACGTCCATATAGAACGAATCCTCAGCTTCAATAACTAAAAAAAAGCAAGTGTCAACGAGATACAGTGCTTTTAAAAAAAGACCACATCCACTGTCTTTACAGGGAACTTTCTTCTTCAGCATAAAATGAACTATGAACTATCTAGCTAATGTAACTGAGTGAGAGAGCTATTGATAATGATCAAATTATGATTACTGTTGAGTTTTTTGATGATTTTTCAAAAAAAATAAATATTTGGGAAGTTCCAGACGAGTAAAGGACAAATTACAATATTAGACTAGTAAAATAGGGGAGAGTTAAAAAGGGTTTCATCTCCCATAGTCCTACATACAGTGGGCCTTGTTACATTTTATCACGATTAAAATACGCTCTATACACGATCCTTCCAGGGATAAGTGAGCATCAGACAATTATTCAGCTCAATCTTTATTATTTCAACCAATTCTGACATTGCCTGCTTTTTGATAAAACACGGTTTTTTATTCATACTTTAATGCAAAATTAGCCAGAAATCTGTGACTTAGTATCAACATTCTTCAGGATTCTAGATTCTAAAGAAGCAATATCCCTAAAAATGGCGGATGTTTGATATCTTCTGCTTTTACAGATGAACTAATAAATTAATGCTAAGATGAAACATGGGAACATGTGTTATTACTGATCTATGCCTTTGCTCGAAAACTTACATCAATTTCGTTTTATTAACGGGATAAGACACCTTTGTCAGGATTGCTCAGGGTAAAATTTGAGGTGACAAGTCAGGTTCATCACGTGAATTTGCAGCAGTTCACACTCAGTTCCCCAATTTTGCCAACAAAGGCTGCAAATGCTTAGGTTCCAAATGATTACTGGGGGCAATGTTACTGCTGTCAAACCCGTGTATGATGAACTCGCAGTTAACGTGGTAAATTGAATTCTTGCCTATGAGCTCGTGGACAAGGTATGAATTAAAACACTATGCATCATCTTTTCCCACTAAATTTCAGGCGATAAACGAATCATACGGCAGGAAGCCGGGAAATCAACTCCTAAACAACATACATGTATGCTTGACATTAACATTGGTTGAATGCCAAGCATACTAATAAAGCCATTGGCATGATCTAACTTCTGTCTGATCTGTGACAAAAATACTTCTTAATATCTTAAGCAGGCGTTGATTACTGAACTTCCCATGGAGCAAGTCGTTTTCAAGGTAAGATTTTGGGCGAACACATGTGATGTTTTTTCAAGTTCAGACCTTGTCTGAAGCCCCCAATCCCGTAAGTGTCCTACAGAAAAAAAACCGGTTTCCACAAGGTCGCAGAATGAATGTCTAAAAATCTGCCTACTTCTATTTCAGGACGTTTTGTCAGAATAACATGTCAATAACTGCAATCATTAGAGATTAACATGTACAGGGTGTCCCAGACCACCTGTACCAGGCCTCTGTCTCGGCTGGTTCAGGTCGCACGAAAACGGACCGCAGGATTAGGTAGAGAACCGACACCAAGGGATCCGAATTTCACGGTCCCGAATCCTAGCCCCCCTAGGAGGGGGGAGGGGTCACGATCCTAAAAGTTGAGATTCCCAATAGAATTGCGATTTGATAACATTAAAAATTCAAAATTACAGAAAATTACACAAATGTATAATTATAATTGACCCCTAAATATCCAAAATCGGTCCACTTAAGGCCCAAAAATGATCCCTTAAAGAGGAGGTCGGTTACCCTCCACAAATTGCTCATTGGACGTAAAAGTGACGTACATTCTCTAGAAAAATGGTATGCTAGTAAACTGACATCAAGGAACCCGACTTTCATGGTTTCCGAGCTCCCTTGACCTCCTTTCAGAAGTTTGGGGGCGGAGGGGCATCTTCTTCCAGAGAATCTACGTCAGTTTAGCGGCCAATGAGCAATTTGTGGACAGGACACCGGCCCCCTCTTCAAAGGAATACTTTTGGGCGTCGAGTGAGACAGTTTGAACTCCCAGGCGTCAATTAAAGTTTACATTTGTCGCACTTGTCAAATTGGATGCCATCAATTTGCGATACGGAAGGGAACACCGAATTTTCCCATTTACTTCCATAAGGCGGCTTCGGGACTTAAAAATCGAATTCCGTGGGGTCAATTACCTGTAGCACCATCTTTTTCTGGAGAATCTGAGTCAATTTAGCGACCAAAGGGAAATTATGGAGGGGCCACTGTCCCCTTCAGGAAGGAATTATTTTTGGGCCTAAAATGGACCGATTTTGGATTTTTAGGGGCCAGTTGCAAGTGAACTTTTCTGTACTTTCCAATTTTAATACAATCGAATCCCGTCTTTTAGGATCGTGACCCCCGCCCCCCCACCTTTACCTTCTCAAGGGAGCCAGGGAGGTTTCAGGACCATGAATTTTGGATTCCTTGGGGTCAATTCCCCTGTTAACTCCGCGATCCCCGAATTTGAAAGACCTAAGTTGCGGTACGGGTGGTCTGAGACACTCTGTATTTAAGCCAGGGTTGCCACAGAATTTAAAAAATAAAATTCCCTTACATTTCTCTGATTTCCCTGACATTTGGAGGTATGCGGAATGGTGAAAAAGACACAATTAGAAATAGTTTTCTTGAAAAAATGAAAGTTTTATGTTGAATAATTTATATGCGTTCACCTAGTCTTTCGTCATTGATAGTAACTGAAGGAGGTTACATCTTTGAATGGCTCATTATTAAAGAAGTTTTGATCAATTTTTTTAGTTGTATTTCCTCAAAGTTCATATTAACATCATGCTCTACTTGCCGTAGACTAAGAGAAGAAATTCTGCAACGCTTAACAAATTTGAGAAGTATTTGCTGGGTGTGCTACCACTTCCATTTGAGATTAATAGTGCGTAAAACTGAGTGTTACATATGAAATGGATGAGAAGAAGGGAAGTTTGAGCTAATAATTTTTCACTTTTAAAAATAATAAGAACCAAAACAAATCCCGCAAAATCGCCCCTTCCAACCCTGAAAACGCAAAAATAGTTGTTCGAAATTACGGACGCAATCTTGAAAAAAAAAAATAGTAACTCAACCACTTTTCCCTGACATGTTCGGCATTCTTCCTTGACATTTCCCGGTTTTCCCTGACTGGAAATCTGGTTTTAAGATATGAAAAAGCGTTAAGGGTGCTCAGAAGACCCTGGGGGAAGGGGGGGAGGGGTTGCAACAATTTTGTGACTGTAACAAAGTTGGTCTCCTGATTATGCCTCATTGAAGAAAGGAAATCAAAAGTTCAAAAAAAAGAGAAAATCTGCTTATTTTTGCTGTATGAATAATACAAACATAGCGCGAGCAGAGATACATGAAAACAGACCTCTTAAAATCTCAAAGTTATTGATCCAATCATCGTACCAAGCTCAATATTTCAGGAGATGCTCTTTGTTACTTATTCTTCAAGACCCTATTTGAAAACAATCTGCGGATATCATCCTTCCCCTTTTGTCCCCCCCTCCCCTTAATTTAGGGGGAAGGCACCCTTGAATTTTCTTTAAAATTAAGTTTGGTCAACGCAAATCGAGTAGAACATACCAAGAGCTTCAAATTTAGAAAAAATTGAGCTCTGTAGCTAAAAGATATTGAATTTTGAAGGTAAAAAAGTGTCGCAACTTGGAGATTTTGGGGACAATTTTGATCACTCAAATTTTCGGCCCCCGTCGCATAAGGAAGCTAAAACTTTGCATTTGTCAGTTCCTCAGTTAGCATAACAAGGATACCAAATTTAATCAGAAATGGAGGAGGTGGAGAACAGTTTTGCCTTTTTTTTCATCGATTTGATGTGGAATGACCCGCTTTCAAGATGTGATATGCCTTTCCTATATTAGGTCAAAATATTTTTGCTCTAACGTGCTATTCATCTCTCATACATAAGAATTTTATAATCATTTTCTCATACTCTCTATGTTTTCTAGGCTGATTTTTACCAATTAAGAAGCATGTAATTAAAACAGAGCATTGTAGATGCAAATTTACCGGTAAAGCGCATTGACGATACAAAATGTCATTGGGGCCAATTCCTGACAAGAAATTTCATGAATGCAAGTACTTAAATATATTTTCAGGCACAAGAGAATTCAACGTGCTACTGGATATACGAGGGGCGTTCAATAAGCAAGTATCCCCCCCTCTCTAAAATCCATTATAATGAACCAATTTTAAAAAACTTGGGCTCAAAATCTTCCTAAGGATATTTTCAGTTCAACAAAACAAACCGCAACAAAATCGGACCATGTCCGGCCGAACGCGAGCCGTTTGAACGCGCCGAGGTGCTCGACGCTCCCGCCGAATCCGCGAGGATTTGAAGTCCGCTACAGGAGAAGAGCTTCTCTGCCAAAGCCTCAGTCGTTCATCACTGACGAAAAATCAAAGAAATTTTTTTGAATAAGAGGCTTACCTCACTTCTCCACATAACCAGCTCGATCCAAGCAAGTCTGATACTGAGACTAAGAGGACAGCTTTTGGATGCCTCGCGCGTGGAAGTCTTTCAGCTGACCGGGGATGAAAGAGTGGACGGCTTGTTTGACCTCTTCCCCTGATTCAACATTAACCTCCACCTCCAAGTTCAGATTTCAGATACGATAATAAATGGCAAACCAGACCACCATTTATTCCCGTTCCTGAAATCTGAACTTGGAGGTGTTAATGTTGAATCAGGGGAAGAGGTCAAACAAGCCGTCCACTCTTTCATCCCCGGTCAGCTGAAAGACTTCCACGCGCGAGGCATCCAAAAGCTGTTCTCTTAGTCTCAGTATCAGACTTGCTTGGATCAAGCTGGTTATGTGGGGAAGTGAGATAAGCCTCTTATTCTACAAAAATTTCTTTGATTTTTCGTCAGTGATGAACGACTGAGGCTTTGGCAGAGAAGCTCTTCTCCTGTAGCGGACT